CCACCATTATTTTCCAGCACTGCCTTAACCCTCTTGGGCATGGAGTTCACCAGAGCTTCACAGGTTGCCACTGGAGTCCTCTTCCACTCCTCCATGACGACATTGGTCTGAGCACTGACAGACTGACCCCCCCACCCCTTCAACCTCTGCAGCAATTCTGGCAGCACTCATACGTCTATTTCCCAAACACAACCTCTGGATAGGACGCTGAGCACGTGCACTCAACTTCTTTGGTCGACCATGGCGAGGCCTGTTCTGAGTGGAACCTGTCCTGTTAAACCACTGTATGGTCTTGGCCACCATGCTGCAGCTCAGTTTCAGGGTCTTGGCAATCTTCTTATAGCCTACGCCATCTTTATGTAGAGCAACAATTATTTTTTTCAGATCCTCAGAGAGTTCTTTGCCATGAGGTGCCATGTTGAACTTCCAGTGACCAGTATGAGAGAGTGAGAGTGATAACACCAAATTTAACACACCTGCTCCCCATTCACACCTGAGACCTTGTAACACTGAGTCACATGACACCGGGGAGAGAAAATGGCATTATATTATATATATAATCAACTAGACTAGAGGTCCTGATGTGATCAGAAGCAGGTGAGACACTTGTGTAAAATTTTCTAACAGAGGTCCCACAATCATGGAAATTTTGGAAATATTATGGAATTTTAAAATCATACTTTCCAGGCCATGGGAATTAATCTTGAAAGTCATGGAAATTTCACACACTGTGCACTAAATATGCTCTAAAATATTTCATCGGGTCGATGTTCTTGTATCAAATTAATCTTGCTCATGAGCCATAGTGATTGTCTGATTTGTGTGCGAATTGTTCTTTTCGAGTTGCTTCTTTTCAATGAAACTGATTCACAAAATTGCTCTAAATGATTAATTAGTGAATCATCATCCAGTAATCACAAGTGACTGGAAAGGTCATGGAAAAGTCACAGAAATTCACTGGTCAAAAAGTATGAGAACCCAGTGCTAAGTGTATAACTCTTGGAATTTTTTTTTTTTGTGGCTTTGTTACTCCTGAATGTTAAGGCTGATTTGTGGAGATTGTTTTTCTTTTTATCCTGTCCCTTTAATTCGTTCTCTTGTCTTTCCCCCTCTCCTTCTTTCAGTCCCCGCTCGCTGCTTGTAGCGGCAGTATTGATTACCCGTGTCTTTGCTTTTGCAGCTTTGGGCTATTGATCTTTGGCTGAGGCTCTGCACACACACACACACACACACACACACACACACACACACAGTCGTATTGTCTCTGTTTGAGATGGCTTGCTCTGAGATGGTACGAGAGGAAGAGCTGTGGGTTAATGAGTCTGTCTTGGCAATGTGTTTGGCTGTGAGTTTCTCTGTGTTTAATGCCTCCATTCTGTTCTACAATTAACATCAATCACTTCAGCTCAATATAGTCTGAGTCAGACAAAGACTCGAGACCAGCTGTGTGTGTGCGCACATGTGGGCTCTTGGCTTCTCTACCTGCTTACAGAGTCACTGCAATACAAAATACACACTGATATTAACATGCCAAGCATATTGCAGATTCATATTGCAAATTTAGGCCTTATAATGACAATCAATCTGAAATCAATCTGATTTCCAGAACACTCCATTAGTCAGCAAAACAATAGTCCCATTCCAAATATCCACCATAGGTTGTGTCAATCTGACAGGTCAGCAACTATAAAAATCTGTGTTTGGACTTAAAGGATTACTTACAGATCAGATAGAGGACTGTGGCCTATGGGTGTTTGTGCTTGCTTATTTTGACATCTTGTCTAGTCCATTTTCACTCATTGTTAGAGCCATAAATTACATATTTTCTGTATATTAAGATATGTATATTATTATCATGTGTATATTTTGAATATGTATACTGTATCACATGACTATAGGCAATTTTATTCATAATACGTATGTGTGAGTAAACGTAAAATGTTTTGAATTAGAAGGAAAAGGAAGGGGTTTGGTACTAAACCATCTTTTGGTCATTGAAATGGTCAAACAAAATTTGATAAAATAAACTATTTGAAGTTTGACAGTGTAAATAGTTCTTAAGTTAGATTTTTGTTTTTGTAACTTAGGAAACGAAAAGTAACCTGTTATGCTGCAAGTTTATGGTTTTACACATCGCCTGTGGAAATGGTGAAGAATGGAAAAAAGCTTTTATTTCACAATTATACTCATTACATTCAGACTGATGAATCACACTTTTTAAGATCCACATTGTCTCTCTGGACAATGGTTCCCTCACGTTATGTTTTTGAAATGTATACTATGTTGGTTTTATTGTATGTTTTTGTTCCGATGGTTTTTAGTGGACAAAGTCTCACAGGTGAAAAAAGGGGTGAATCTGCAAAGTCTGACTTATTAAAAACGTCCGTA